GTCCTGTGGTTTGTCATATGTTGTACATTAACCATTTTTTCCCTTACCATTATTTCTTATAATTCAATCTTAAAGCTATCTAGTATGAAAAAATATAACTGCTTCGTATGATTAAAGCTTATACTTAAAACCATTTGTCTTAACATTTTTCATTCACATTTTGCTTAAACTCATAAATCTGTCTTACTCTACTAACAAATCTTTAACTCCAAACATTCCCAGCTCATAAATACACTTCCAAGTTTTCGCACAAACATATGAAATCTAAAAGAGTAGCATAAAGAAATCACTCACCCACGGGTCAGCGGGAAATTCAGCAAGGTAACACATCCTCAAGTACAGCTCAACATGTTCCTCATTGATAAGGTCATCTGCAAATATTTATGTGCTAAAACATGGCCTCGGCACATACTGTGATAACATATTAAAAACAAATACCTATATCTATAATTCAAGCCATCTAACTATCTATCTCTCTTTGCATATATATGTATCTGAAAGTCTTCTACAGACCAAAAAGATTTAATAATAGATAAAACAAGTTTATAAATGTTCTTCTATTTCATGATTCATTCTGAAGAAATGAGGAAAGGAAAGTATGATATGAAATTAACCCATTGCTGATGGGCATGGCACGTATGTCCACACCATGCCCACTGTGAGTTTACTTGTTTAATTGTTTTTACACATAGATGGCTACACTTGTACTAAACCACCAATGAGCCAGTTACAAGTACCGCCTGTCTTGCCCATTCACCCTTTTCATTGATTTATGAAAATATTTTACATTACCTTATTTTGCTGTTACTAATGTTTATAACATTTTAGATACACACACACACGCAAACACGCACACATGTACATATACACCTTTTTTTTCTATCCTCTTTTCATTTTATTAATGAACAACTATATCAAAAAGCATATATCTATAAAGTGTATTTGTAAAATAAGCGAGGATACTTCCCTACATGCGGGCCTATTCTTCTTTCCTTCCATCCATTCATTTGGCTTTTACCTTTCCACCCATCTACCCTTCCATTCCTAGTAAAAACACTTACCTCTGCCATCTGTCAGCTTCCATACTCGTTGCACATGGCTAGCGCCCGGCCGATACTCTTCTTCTACCATCCTGATTGTCATTTGTAAAAGCTTTTGATAATCTTTGCTAGTAATATTTTCAGCACAGCCCTCAAAGACTTTTACAGCTCTCAAAATATCCTTTGCATTTATACAACCCAGACGTTCCAGCTTCATCGTCAGCGTTGCCAAAGTGTTCTGTATTGGTGGAGTCATTTCTTTTACAGCATCACTGTGACTTTTTGACGCTTCATTATTCAAAGACGGTTCAAAATTTGTATTCACTCCTCTTCTCCCTTTTGAATTGAATTCCTTCATAATAACACTTGTTCTGAGAAGAAAAAATCGAATGTCCATTAGTACCTTCTAAAGACAAATTAATTAACTTTATGATGGTCACTTATTACAAAAGGGCCTAAGGGATATTTGTCATGCTAGATTAGGATGAACTTTCAAGAGATCTGACAAGCTGAAACAATTATAGGCAAATATTCACAGTTATATTCATAAACCTAGAATTATAATGACAGCAGAACCGGTATTTACACGAGTGCCTTGCCTCCCGGCTGATTGTGGTCTCCCAAGATTTGACGTATTTGACTTCGGGTATTTGCTAATATACCCCCGAACTGACCCTTAAGAACCACAAAAAAGCCAAGAACACTGCCACTCTATCCCCAAAGAATACAGAACCCTAACATTCCCTCCAGGAGAATTGTACTCAAATAATCTCACTTACCTTAAATAATAATAATAATAATAATAATAATAATAATAATAATAATAATAATAATCTCATTTACCTTGAATACGTCCTTTCGGGGGCTGCTGTTCCCTTCCCCGTCGCTGTCCTTCTGACGGGGAATGAGTGACATGCCCTCACATCTGTCGTAAAGCTACATCTTCCCCAGAAATTCCGTAATAACCTGAGCTGCTTCGCCATCTTCTTCTTCTTCTTCTTCTTCTTCTTCTTCTTCTTCTTCTTCTTCTTCTTCTTCTTCTTCTTCTTCTTCTTCTTCTTCTTCTTCTTCTTCTTCTTCTTCTTCTTCTTCTTCTTCTTCTTCTTCTTCTTCTTCTTCTTCTTCTTCTTCTTCTTCTTTTTTTATAGGATTTTAGACTCTATAGTATAGTCTATACTCCCTGGATTTTCTCTTGTGGGTCTTCGTTGTTTTGAGATTATAGCTATTATTCTTGTTCTTTTGTTGGAAGATTTTTGTGTCTCAGAATGGAATACTTCTTCGCTGGTGGTTGGTCTGCAGGAGTTTGTATTTTTATTTTATTTAGTGATTGTAATAAATTGATTCTGTGTGAATTAAATCTTGGGCACTGTATGCTTCGCCACCTTCTTCTTCTTCTTCTTCTTCTTTTATAGGGTTTTAGACTTTTGAAGTCTATATTCCCTGGAGCTGTTTCTTCTTCTTCTTCTTTCTTCTTTTATAGGGTTTTAGACTATTTTCTAGTCTATATCCCCTGGATCTTTTTTCTTTCTTCTTTCTTGGAGCTGTTTCGCCACCTTCCTCTCACGCCGCCGCTGTTTGTTTACCTCCATCAGCTGATCGGCGTTCGTGGAGGCGGCATGCGGGGCTTAGGCGAACGCGAACGGCCGCTCTTCGCTTCGTCTGTTTTATTCCTCCTAATTATACTTAGATATATATAATTATACTTCATCATGATTATAGTTCATCTTAATCATTATCTATAATATTCATCTTAATCATTATCTATAATCTAACGGCCGCTTTTCGCTTCGTCTGTTTTATTCCTCTTAATTATACTTAGATATACATAATTATACCTCATTATTATTATAATTCATCTTAATCATTATCTATAATCTTCACCTTAATCATTATCTATAATCTTCATCTTAATTACACTTCATCCGTATTATTCACTTCTATATTATTCATGAAGCGAGAAAAAATCTACGGCGTGACCCCCCCCCCCTTCTCGTCACAGACGTTTAAAGGGATGAAGGGGATAAAATCTCTCCAGAGGCCCAAGACTAGTAGTAGAATCAAGGCTTTTATTTTTTTTGGGGGGGAGGTTAATCAATGTCAAACCTATAGAGTTCGTATGTGTGTGTGTGTGTGTGTGTGAGTGTGTGTGTGTAAGTGTGTGTGTGTAAGTGTGTGTGTGTGCGTGCGTGCGTGCGTGCGTGCATGTGTGTGTGTGTGTGTGTGTGTGTGTGTGTGTGTGTGTGTGTGTGTGTGCGTGTGTGTCCACATACCTTGTCATCTCTCACAGTGAACACAATGACAGTTACAGAAATATATAAATAGAAACGAATTTCCTCCTTAATAAACCCATCGAATCAACACTTTCTTCGAGTTACAACTGCAAAAATATATCCATATGTCTGAGGAAAATATTGACACAAACACTTGCATATATTTTATTGATAAGATAATTACATATACATTATGATATTACTATGAAGAATTATCAATAGACATATTTTTTAAAACAAATTCTATCAGTCAAAAACTTCACAACATAACATGTGTGTAGTTTTATATGTATATATTTGTAATGATTTTTTTTGTAATGTTTTTCTCTCTTTGTAATAGACATTTTTGGTACCAAAATATCATTTCTAACTAATAACATCACCTCCCTAATTCACATACGAGAATGCAAGCAAATACAATTCCCCTACTGAATTAGCAAGCAATCTAAGACTTCTAAAATGGATCCAGACATTGCCTAAAATGGATCCAGACATTGCCTAAAATGGATTCAAACATTGCCTAAAATGGATCCAGACATTGCCTAAATTGGATCCAGACATTGCCTAAAATGGATCCAGACATTGCCTAAAAAGGACCCAGACATTGCCCTAAAATGGACCCAGACATTGCCTAAAATGGATTCAAACATTGCCTAAAATGGATCCAGACATTGCCTAAAATGGACCCAGACATTTCCCTAAAATGGACCCAGACATTGCCTAAAATGGATCCAGACATTGCCTAAAATGGATCCAGACATTGCTTAAAATGGACCCAGACATTGCCTAAAATGGACCCAGATACTACTGTGCATTTCAGAGGGTCTTTTTCCTCCTTAAATGAATCCCAGATCTGATCCTTCCTTCTTCCCTGAGACTATTTCCCACCGAAGCCTCTCGTTTCCTCCTGAAGAAGGCCTTGTCCATCGCCACCTCCTTCAGCCTGTCTTCAAGTCGCCTGATGACGTTCTGGCGGAGACTGAGGACGAGTAAGTAGTAGGTCGCGAAGCAGCTCAGGACTCCCGCCAGCACCAGAGACACCCGCAGGTCGTCCAGAGCGAAGAATACATCTCTGTGGAAGATGGTATATATATATATATATATATATATATATATATATATATATATATATATATATATATATATATACATATATATATATATATATATATATATATATATATATATATATATATATATATATATATATATTTACATACATGTATCTATATACACACAGACACATACACACACACACACACACACACACACACACACACACACACACACACACACACACACACACACACACACATATATATATATATATATATACATATATATATATATATATATATATATATATATATATATATATATATATATATACATATATGTATATATATATACACATATATACATATGTATATATGTATATATATATATATATATATATATATATATATATATATATATATATATATATATATGTATATATATATATATATATATATATATATATATATATATATATATATATATGTATATACATATATGTGTATATATATATATATATATATATATATATATATATATATATATATATATATATATATACATATATATATATATATATATATATGTAAATATATGTATATACATATATACATATATACATGTATACATTTATGTATGTATATATTATATGTATATACATACATATATATATATATATATATATATATATATATATATATATATATATATATATATATATATATATATATATGTAATTATATACATATGTATACATATATACATATACATGTATTATATATATTACAAGTATATATATGTATATATATGTATATACATACATATATACTTATATAAATATATGTATATACATATATATAATATATACATACATAAATGTATACATATATATATATATATATATATATATATATATATATATATATATATATATATATATATATGTATATGTATATATGTATATACATATATATAATATCATCATCATCATCATTGGGGCTAACGCCGGTAGGGGCGCATAGCCGCGTCCACCCTTCACTTCCACCTGGGAGGGTCTCTCATAGCGAGCCACCAGGCAGGGGCCCGGCCCATCTCTAGTTCCTCACGACAGGTTTGATTGATCTGCCCATGCCACGACCTTCTTGGTCGTCCCACAGGCCTCCTCCACCCAGGGTTGTCTCGAACAGAGACAACCTGATAGGCAGGATCATCCTGCGGGAATCGAGCCAAGTAGCCATATAGCCTGAGTTGGCGATCACGGATTGTGCAAGTAACAGGTCCTGTACCGGTCTCACGGTGTAGCTGTTGGTTGGACACATGGTCCCGCCAACTGTACCCCATGATCCGGCGCAAGGATCTGTTACAAAAGGCATCGAGACGAGATTCCAAAGCACAAGATAGCATCCAAGTTTCACTACCATATAGTAAAACTGGCAGTATCAGGGCCTTGAAAACTCGTAGCTGTGTCCTTCTGCACAGGTACCGGCATCTCCAAATACTCTTGTCGAGAGATTTCATGACCCCTGCTGCCAGGCCAATCCGTCTACTGACTTCCTGATCTGACAGCCCAGAGTCATGAACTGCACTACCGAGGTATATAAAACTCCTTGTGACTTCGATGTTTTCACCGCAAGCACGTACCGACTGCAAAGGGTCTCCTAGTAGGCCCCCAAAATCCTGGATCTTGGTCTTGGTCCAGGAGACCTCTAGCCCCAGGGGCTTCGCTTCATTGCTAAATGCATCAAGAGCCGCCACTAGGGTTTCCAGAGATTCAGAAAGAATGGCAACATCATCAGCAAAATCAAGGTCTGTAACCTTGATATTGCCCAGAGTTGCTCCACAGTGACTTTGGACAGTAGCTCTACCCAGTATCCAATCCATGCAAGTGTTGAAAAGTGTTGGTGCAAGAACACAGCCTTGCCTCACGCCTGAACTAACAGGAAAGAAGCTCGACAGACCCCCAACACACTTTACAGCACTTTCAGTGCCTGTATACAGGTTTGCTATTAGCCCAACAATCCTTGTTGGAATTCCTCTCAGTCTCAGGATCTCCCAGAGTGTTTCGCGATGCACCGTATCAAACGCCTTCTTGAGGTCGATGTAGGCTGCGAGCAGCCCACGTCCGAACTCACGACGGCGCTCTACAATGACTCGAAGAGCCAGGATACGGTCTATTGTGGACTTACTAGGAGTTAACCCAGATTGGTCCGGTCTTTGGTGCCTCAGGAGGTGGTCTCTGATACGTCTCAGTAAGATGTGGGCGAGTACCTTGCCTAGTACACTGAGCAGTGTAATGCCTCTGTGATTGCTGCAGTCCCACCGATCCCCTTTCCCCTTCCAGAGAGGGATGACTACACCCCTCAGCAGGTCGGGGGGAATGGTACCGGTCTGCCAGATGGCAGACAGGACTGCATGCAAGCCCCTTACCATAGGTTCTCCACCAGCATTTAACAATTCAGCTGGGATGCCACAGACACCTGCTGCTTTTCCACTCTTCAGCTTGGAGATCGCCCCCTTGACTTCAGTCAGGGTGGGTGGGTCTGGCAGAGGACTCCCAACATTACCAGCATACAAGTTAACTGTTGGTGGATCAACCTGATACAGCTGCTCAAAATACCCCATCAGGATCTGAGATTACCTGGCCACTTGCTGAGCGGACTGCCGTCGTCTGTGAGGAGGGCTTGGAGTTAAGCTTTCTCAGAGCTTGGTAGGCAGGACGAAGGTCATTTACTAGGAAATGGCTTTCGACCTCCTCTGCAAGATTACTGATAAACTGTTCCTTATCCCTTCTCAACAGTGACCTAGTCCTGCGCGCCAGAGAACGGTGCAAATTGCGATCCCCTGACAATCGAGCCGCACGACAAGCTTCTGTGGCTTCCAGTGTCTCCTGCGAGATGGAATTATGCCTTGCTCTTGGGTGTCCACCAATGGATTCCTGAGCTGCATGAAGTGTTTCACGCTTGAAGGAATCCCACATAACAACAGGGTCTGTCAGGCCCTCGAGTGCTGTGAGACGACCAGAGATAGCCTCAGCAAACCCCCGGGCACACTCATCCTCCCTCAGTCTGTCCAGATGAAACACCCTGGGGTGTTCATTTGGTCGACGGGGGGTTCTAAAGTGGACCCGGAGAGTA